CCGGGCAATGACGTCGGTATGACGTCACGGGGACACAAACTAGGTCGTGGGGTCGAAGTACCTCATCGACTTCCCGTGGATACTTGCCTGCTTGTTCGGTTGCCCGATTCATTGAAAAAAAGGAGCGGGATTAAAATGGTTACTACTGTCGAAGTCGAACGTTCTCGTATGTTCATCCGTTTATCGCCTGCCTATCTAATTGAGATTTGATCTTTGTAAAAAAAGAAACAAAAACGTTAACGTTAATTTTTCTACATTTATATACTTTATAACTTACAATTTATTTGAATGTAATCTTTATTAAAAAGTAGATCTTTATATCCACAGTTTTCGCAGAGAAAAAATAAACATCACATTTTGTATTTGTATAATATTATATTATATGACTATTATATAAGAAAGTCAAAAAATTTCTATATAAAGGTAAAATCTTATTTAAACAATTTATAATTTATATGAGAATTGACAAGATTCAATTCTATTTATAATTTTATATGCCGTGTGGTACAAATAATATTACAAAAAATAAAATACACATATACGAAACATATATTTAAAAATTTATATCGTATATATCGTTTTTATCATTTAAAAAGTGACTAAGAAAAAATTAAGTTTCCCAAAAAAGAGAAAAAACTATTTGTCAATTTGACAGAAAATTATTGATTATACACATTGATATACTATAAAATTTTTAACGTAAGAAAAACCTCGATTTAAAATGGATAAATGATTTATTCATTTAGCAGAATTCGCGGGAAAATGAATTATACATATAAATTAAGTTTATATTTTATATCAATTAATTGATAAAATATCAAAAACATGAGAGAGAGTGATATAAAGATCAATAAATTTAATACTATTACATACTTATTAATAAAAAATTGTAAAACGTCAAGACATCCCAAGAATTAAGCAACAAGGTCTGTATTGTGTTTCAAGTATTACAATATGTATAACTAGGAAATTTTCAAGCGATTGATGAAGAGTTCGATATAAAATAATAAAGTTAAAATAATAAAGTTAATATTTAGAAGTTTTTATTAATATTAAGGAGCATTTTTTACGCCAAAATATATCAAATCAAATTGCAAAAATGAATTATTGTAATCTTATCCAAAGCAAGCATTAAACTTTGTTCACATTCTCTTTCGATTTTTTCCACTCTGATAAATCTGCGTTATCTTGCGACAACTTGCAGGATCGCGAGATCAACAGCACGATTAGCTTTATACATACATTTCTCATCACTTGTCAATCGATAACAGAATATTCGAATGACAATGCATGCACCTCGATTTTTTCATCACCCTCTTATGGAGTCCGGTCTATCTTTAAGAATGATTTGACGCGCGGCAATATAGTCTCTCATTTCACCGCGAGAATGACTATAGAAGAAATGAAGAAGGAGAAAAATACTTTGTAAGAAGAGAAGAGAGAATCATGTTGAGATATGCGAGGAAATGGTGGCATCGACAGCACAAGCGTGTGCGTGCGTGCGTGTATATGTGTTTGTGTAATGGTAGAGAACGGCCGATGAGACGGGAGGGGCAGGTTGGTGACGGCTATTTTTGGAATGTGGGTCACCCATAAACCCCGGCTTGTCCCGTGACGTCACGGGATCGTCGTCGTGGCAACAGGGACGCTGGGTCAATCACCTCCGGTTCAACCCTCCTTGTTCCCCTTTTACCCTGTGATCCGTTCGAGCGCACCACATTCAACCTCATCGTCCCACCCCTCCAGGGGCTCTACCTGTAACTCCCTCTGAGAGGGAATAGGTTAAAGGTTACGATACTGATGATACACGCATCAAGAGAATCTGTCTTTTACCCTCCAGCTCGTGCCCTTCTCTTTCTTTCCATCATACCTTTTCCACATACACGTAGGTCCATCCTCTTTGCTCGCGTGCATTTTCATTATGCAGGATTAGGCTCTAATATCAGAGGTGAACGTTAAGGAAGGTGATTGTATAGGGCTGATTAAGCAATGCACGGACAATGCCAAGTGTATAATTATTATGATCTTGATATTAAGCGATTAGATTGTGGTCAATGTAAACTTTAATAAGGTTAAATTACTGAATGCGAGGTGACCCGAAAAATTTATATACATCTCTAATCAGATATTATTTTGGAAGCGTCTTGTCAAAGGAAATGCTGAAACATCGACCTTGGTAATTAGGGGAGGCATTTTGTAAGAATAATGTTACGCATATGTTGTAAAATCAACTTTTCCTTGCTTCATTTTAATTAGCAAAAAATATTGATAATAACAGCGATACTAAGAGTTTTTTGATAAACCTGCAATATTGTAATCTTTATCAGACGTCACTATAACATCGCAATTACAATGTACACGCATTGAATTGAGCATCATTGAGCATTTTGTAGCAATGAAAGAACTTGGAATTCCTTCGTAAGTTCTCGCCATCTTCTCGACTACGCAGTATCTACGTCGCGAGCTTTATATATTCTGCTATAACTTCGCAGAGACCTGTATTATCCGTACCTACTAAACTGTCCGACCAAGTCTCGATATGTACCACGTACTTGTCCGCGCGTGCTTTCTTGTGCACTTTTTTCCTTTAACTTCGGTTTCACAAAATTCGATTGAATTGCCATGCGAGTGAAAGGCATGGAATAAAATATTTTTACAATAAGAAATAAGTAAAAGTAAAATGTCAATATTCACAGTGAAGAAACGTTACCGATAATGAAGTTTACCGTAGATATGTTACCTGTGTTAAATGTGCAACGTAACATCAGTGTGTGCCACATGGCTGACTCGGCGGATTTGTTCTACTTGATTCTTCGTTTTCTGCTTTTGAGAAAATAATTGTTGTAATTTATTTTTACTTTTTTTTTAATTAAAATTTTTCTAATTTATATAGTTTTTCAAAAATATATATTTATATAGGTTTTAAAAAATAAACTTAAAGGATTTTATTTTTTCTTAATTCTTTTCATTTTATTTTTTCTTAATTCTTTTGCTTTCATTTGAAAATTTTTCTATAAAATAATTATCATTTCTGTTTATTCTTCTTGCAATTAGAATTAGAAATATAATAAGAGTTTGCAATATTAATTTTCTTACGATATTTCAAATGGATTTGATGAAAAATTAAAAAAATTTTACTATGTATAATAATTGCAATGCAATTTACAATGTATTGCACAATGCAATTTATTATATAATACATAGTTATAATGAAAATTTTTTTAATATTAATTAATTTAATACGTCCTTAAAAAAATCCTTAAACGTCTTCAAAATATCAAAATATTTTTTAAACCTTCTTATTTATTACATAATACATACAAAAACTTAAATAAATATTTTGTTGTAGCTATTGAATAATATGGGAATGAAAAGGTTAATTTCTTAATAAATATTCGCAGTAATATAATATCTAATAATAAAATAATATTGCTCGCACTCGCGCGCGCGCGCGCGCGCGCACACACACACACACACACACACATTTACAATTATATAATAAATTATATAATAAATGTTTTCCTTGTTTATTTAAATGTATAATTTTTTGTGAAAGTTATTTATTTAAATGTATAATTTTTAAAAGTATAATGTTTTCCTTATTTATTTAAATGTGTATAGTTTTAATAATGTTGATAATTATGCATCGTGCATAATATGGATACAATATGTATATAATTGTAATATAAACTACAAAATAATATGTATAGTTTCTATACGTAATGCAATATTACAATCTTTGTATATATGAGATTATATATCAATAAAATTATTACATATCGATAAAACATTAAAATGGATCACACTAATCTATAATCTAATCTAATGTGAATCATTGTTAATACTAACATTTTATAGTTAATACTGTAGAAGATATTTGACAGTTTTTGCAGATATGTTTAACAAGCACGTGAAACTTTTACTTTCGAGCCAAGAGTTTCATTGAAATTCATTGGTGACATTATGTCGATATGATTGTATTACGTTGGGACGCGTCGACATTTCCGTCATCGTTACCGCGTTTAGTGCCAGCAGCTGTTGGTATGAGAAATTTAAAAAGTGCCGATAATATCTCAGTTTTTCTCACCGAGCTGCGCGAACGAGACATTAATAATTTTTACAAGATTTGAGAAGCTTCTCATTTTTGTTGCATCTTATTGTACAACGTGAATTCGACTTGTCTCCAAAAATAATATATTTTTTTCAAATTAGATCTATCGTGAAATGCTGAGCAATAAAGAATAAAAATATTAAATAAAAAATAAATTTATATTTTACGAATATTTATAACTATAATAAACTATATAACTATATAACTATAATAAAAATATCTATTATAATATTCTATCCTATATTAGCACAAATGAATAAACCTCCTGGAAATTGTATCTCTTAAAGCGGAATAACTTACAATAACTTCAAAATAATGATGAAATGAATCGACTAAAGTGTGATTTTAATCATTATTTTGTAGCCATTTTGACGTCACTTTTTATTATAATGTTTTATATTAGTTGCTTGGATCAAATAGAAAGTCATAATAACATCGAAATGGCTACAAAATAATTATTAAAAGTCACTTTTTTTTAACAAAGTATGATTTATTTTAACATTATTGTTATTTGTTCTGCTATTGGAAATATTTTTGGAAAGAATATAGAAAGAAATTTAGATCAACTAATAAGTAAAAAGCTCAATTTAAAAATTAAAAAGGCAGGATATTATATTTAAATCATTTTTTAGATAAATACATTTAGAATATATTTACTAAATATGGTTCCTTTAATTAACAATTAAATTCTATTAACGTTAGTAAGTTATATCGTTTTGATAATCATATTTTAATTAGTAGCGTTTAAGGGCGACCTAGTTCAAGATCGCTCCATTCTTGCCTCATAAGAACCGCGATAATAAGGTGAACGAAATCAGAAGGCGATGCGGCAAACGAACGGCTTAGCGACCAAGCGACCAAGCTCGGCTCCGTTTTCAGTTTCTGATTATTTTTGGCAGCAAGCAGAGCGAGTAGAGCTCTCGCCTAAAAATGCTTACGACCAATGGCGTATCGTCATTGGTCGTGCTTGTACCACGTGAACGGCCTATGTTGGAGGTTCACAAAGTCGACTAAATATCCATGATGGTACAGTCAGCTGCCTAAGGTCCAGTTGGCCAGTCGCAGCCAGCGAGTTTTCTCCACAAGGTAAGCCTACTTTCTGTAATCCTCCTGGTTGTTCTTGCATTATTGCAGCGCAGGAATGTCTCGAAAGGCATCGACCATCTCTGTTCTTCAGGAGGAAGTCTGGAAAAAATCTTTGGATAGGAGAAAATAAAATGGGAAACTCAATTTCTTGTTCCAGGAATGAATTATTGTTCTTGAAATGCTATTTCGATGTTCGAGGATAATTGTTGGGAAGTTACCGCGTTCGAGTGTTCAGTGAAACGAGTGACTGTATGAAAGATACTTTTCGAGGTTGTGACGATTAATTCGCCCAAGATCTTCTAAGACAGTGATTGATCGGCGAGCAATCGCTCGTTTTGAAAGTGACGCAGAGTTGAAAGTGATAGACGAAAAATTATTCCGTTTATAGCCTAACTCAGCCATTGACTTATTTAGGATACTTTGGCAAAATACGCGTAATCTTTTTTTAATTTTCTTCCTCCCATTTTAATAAAAAAAAACATCGTAAAATTTTTAGTTCCATCAGTGGATAGTGTTAGATTATTATTGTAATCGTTATTTTACGATCAATTTTCCTAAGACTTATAATTCGTAAACGTAAAGAAAAACGTCTTTCAATCTTTTTTCTTTCACATTTTAATTTTAATCGAGAGAAATCGTAAAATTTTTAATTCCGTCGTAAAAGATGATTATCATGATCTTGAGTATTATTTTACGATCAATTTTTAAAAAATTTACAGTTCTTCATGATAAAGACAATATTTGAGTTATCTTCTAACTTAACGAGAGAGAGATTCAATAAAGTATAACTTCTCCTGAATGGTAATGCTATGTATTTTGTATTTTCTTCTGAATTTTGTCCTTTTTGCTTAACGTATCATATAATTTAATGAGATTTAGTGAATCTATTTTTACAATGCTTGCCTCTTTGATATCGGAGATGGTACGTGTCTCGATAGGACGTGTCTCGGAATGGTTCGAGCGCGAGAAAATCTATACTTAGCAAAGGCGATCGTTCGTAAAAGAAGGCGCTGTAGCAAATACGAACAATTGATGGATCAAGAAAAGAACTTGATTATTCTATGATTTTCATAAAATTTCAATATCAATATTTTCGCATTGACACATTCGTATGCTAACGTCATCTAGGATGTCATGCAACAAAATTATATTCTGATTATATAACGCTCGTGCGAATTTTATATTAATTATGGAAATTGCGTAAAGATAAAATATATATGAAAACTAAGCATTATAACATTTACGAGAGATATTTAAAAAACTTATTTCTATGAAATTAGCTTGAAATTATCTTGTAATTTTAGTAAAGTGAAATTTTGTAATTTTTAGTGAACGTTTTTATTATTTGATTATAATTAATTTTAGCCAAAATGATATATATTTAAATGATGTCATTTTTAACGTTAAAATGTGTAAATAGTGATTGATAAAAAACTTTTAACTTTTAATAATCGTTTTGAAACCATTTTGACGTTACGTATTGAAAGTATTTTGGTTAAGTACTTTCTTAATAACTAACTTACGCAACGCGCAAGCAGGAAAAAAACGAAATAACAAAAATATTCACAAAGAAATGATACATTATTCTAGTAAGTTGTTAATGACATCTTGTTTCGCCGTTGCCAAGTATTCGTTGCAACGTTGCGTCACGTTTCGCTTGTACAGCCATGACGTTCCTAAGTATTTTCGGAATGCGGAATGTCGCTGCAGACAAGGTACAATCCATCTTCTTGAATGTTTTGGAGCTGCGACAACGAGCGCGTCGTAGCGAGCTCCGCTAAGTGCGCAATTGTTATCTCTCTCTAACCGAATTGCACAATTTCGGATGCGCGCACAGAAGTTTATCTATATAAGTTATCTGTTTTGAAACTTCGTTGGATCCTGCCTTGCCTCGCGGCAGAATGTTCTCTGATGTGTCGATACTTCGCATCACGCATCGGTATGATTCCACGACAGAAGAATCTTGGCTAATCAAAGGAATGTGGCATGTCTCGTCGATATATACGCGATATTTTCCCTCTACACACCGTTATAGCTCTTTCGAATGAAATGTCATACGCAAATAGCGCGACGTCGCATATTCGTCGGCGAGCTCCCTTCTCTCTCTTCCCTCTCTCCCCCTTCCCTCCCACCCCTCTTCCTTTCTCTTTCTCTTTCTCTCTTATGTTTTTATTTTCTTCTATTTTATTAATGTTCTTTTTGTTTTTCCGATATCTTTATTTTGCAAATCGCTTGTCTCCTTATTTCATATTATTTCGATTATATATTCTTTTCATTTTTACCGTTATAATTTATGTATTCTGTTATTCCTAGCTCATTTTTATAACTTTATGTTTGTTCTTAGAGGACTTGTTTTAGAGCAATAATAAATGCACTATCTATCTCTGTATTTTTCTCTTTCTCTTTTTCTCATAGTGAGATATTCATGACTTTGTTTATCTACTCGCCTCGCTGTTTCGACATCGAAATCCAGTTGAAGTCGCCGACGATGGGATATCTACCGCGATCGTTGCATCCAAATTTGGATCGTCGACGTTACTCGACGTTCCTGACGACGGCACGTCGCAGAAAGTGGGGGGACGGCCGGCGTCTATTTTTGCGCGCCAGATATTCTATACCATCGTCGCGCGCGAGAGAGATGAGAAAGACGGCTTGAGCTCGTCTTTTTCCAAGCTGAACAATAAGTCATGATAACGTCAAAATGACATTAAAATGAATCAAAAAAATGATCGAAAAATGATTTTCAATTTTTGACTTGAGTCCATTTTGGAGTCATTATGACATCATTTTGATATCATAATGACTTGTTGTTCCGCGACACGAAATCTACACACGCGTGAGCCGCATGATTTATCGGTATCGGAGGCAGATCGATCATGCTTGTCACAGAGATGCGTTAGCGATCAAATTTTTCTCTGGTTATCTAATATTATTTCCGTCGTGCACTGAATGCGGACATCTGAGCTTTCATTTACCATTGCATTCCATTGAAATCTGTTTTTTGTTCTTTTTTGTTCTTGCATTAGAGTGCAGCAAAACTTTCTTGCTTTTGACGAATATTAAACATGTGCTTATTTCACTTTGAATTCCAAAAATGTATACTAGTTCAGCTATAGAAAACACACTTTATTTTCGTTTGCACTACTTGCGCGACCGTTTTACTACGCATCGCGGAAAAGCGCCGAAGCGTTTGAAGATCGTTGAACGTATGCATACGCAAATACTTCACAAAATATTGTTCGATCAAGTTCCAAGCGATGCTAAGAAATTGCAAAAATGATTTTTAATATTAATAATATCATAAAATCATTTTGACGCCATTTTAATGTTATTATGATATCAAAATATCGTCAAAATAAAAAAATTTATTTGTATTGGTTAGAATAATATAATCATATTGGAACCGTTGATACTATTTTGGTGTTATAATTACTTTATGTTCTGCTTAAGTTATTTATTATTTTAAGGAGAAGAGAATTAGATCCCTCCCCTCTAGTCGTTAAAATGAATTATTAGCGACTATTAATAGTGTGCCGGTGTACCAAGGTCTTCAGCTATTGTACACATATAACACTAATATTTGTATTATTTTTTAGGTAGACGCGCGCAACACCAAGACACCATTATGGCGGACGATGAGGTTAGGTGTGTATTCGGATCTGGAGTCTTTATATATCTTTTTATATCTTTTTTATATTCTTATTACTTAAAAGATCAACGATCGAGGAAAGACCATGGCATACAGTTTCATAAAATCGCGAATATCTCTTAATGTTACATTCTTTTTTTCATATTACCTTCGATGGATCTTCGCCATTGCTGATTTTCACATTGAACAACGGAAACGCTGAACGCACTTCCTACGTGTTGAACATGCAGTAAAATTAGCATTATTGTTGAAAGGTATGCATTGTTTATGCTTTCTGTGATTCTGTGAGAGACCGCTAGTATAAATTGTAGTTTTAGCGAAGATAGTATAGACCTTGTCAATAAAAATAGAACAATGGTTCTACTAAATGTTTCTATCGCGAATCTTTTAATTCACCTTGTTAGAAAGTGTATTTGATGAACTCTAATTTCAGTACCTGATGAAAAAATTATAATTAAGCATATTACGTTTTAGAAATTATTATCGTTCAGCACAAATTAAATTTAAAATTAATTTATATAATTTAATATATTTATAGGATGTTTGGTAACAGATAGAAAAAAAATTGAATGATAAAATAAAATCACGAATACGATTTTAAAATTTAGTTTTTTAATATAAATATTTACATAAAAAGTGTCTTAAGTATAGGAATATTTAGACACTTATGATGAAAAATTAAAGCATTAAAATTTTATTAATTTTGATATTGTAATTCTGAATGTTTAAATTCATGTAAAAGTCTCTGATGCACATTTAAATATACATTGAAAGATTTCTTATTAAAAAACGAAACATCTACTTGAATTTGTTCTTCTTGATTTTTGCCTTATATTTTTTCATCTAGAAAAACCTGATACATTTTTTCTACTTGTTACTTAATGCCCTGGAAATTAATTTATATTTATATTTGATTTTATAATTTCATTAATTCTAGATAATAAAGTCAATTCTGTATACATATTTTACGTAACAAAAAAGGACATACTTTTTTATTCTAAAAGAATAAAAAGTTCAAATACACATTTCTATGAATAAATCATTTTCCTTCAATATACTTCTCTATTATATCAAGCTTTTATGTGTAAAGCTCCGAGGACTTCGAACAGACCGAACCTCGTTTTTTTTCTCCTACAGTTTTTGAATTTTGAAGCAGCTTTTAGTAGCGGATATAAATGATGGTCAAGGATGAGCTATATATAATTTGTGCGCTCTGAAAAAGATTTATATATATGCTATGTAAAATAACGAGGCGATCATAGAAGCTCGCTTCTCGTCATGATTATATCTTTCGCTCTTCTTTTTCCCTTCGCAAGAAACTTTCTACGATCTCCCAATATTCCTTGGCCGTTTCATCCCCCGTTGTACTTACATTTTTTATTTGTTTGTAGTTTGATATTCTTTTCATTCTTAATATTTGATTTTTCTATCTCGGAAGAAGAGTCCTCAGAAAAATTCTTGAACAGAAATTTTCCACCAGTTTGGTGACTTTCATCTCTGCATTCTTATAAATAAGCAATTCATTCCCCACGCTCTTTACCTTGATGATTATGACATCATTCCTACGTAATGTCCACCTCGTGGACGACAATTCTTCGTTTGTGCGGTGGGATAGTGGTTTTCTTTCGTATAATGAAGCCAATTTGCGCGGCGCGAACCGCAAATGTAAAAGTTAATGAAGGTTTTTGGACCAGTGCAGAGTAGGGAACATATATTCCACAAATTTCACCGTAAAATTTTCGCTCTGTAGGAAACGAGAAGTGGGACTAGCCATATTACGACCGACATGTCTCCGTTATATGCTCTATGGCCTGATTTTTTGTCTGTTTTATCGCTACACTCTCGTCCTTATTTCGGCATTATTTAACGCGAATCTGGACTACGCTCCGAATCTCTTCGTCTTACTTTATATCTCTTCTTTCCTGCTACTCGAGCAAGCTATTTGTCACTCGCGTCCTTACCTTACGGGAACAAGTTAGTCTTCTCAGATTTTCAATTGTAGATTTAAGGCCAAGATTTGTGATCTTAATTCATTGATTTCCGCGTATTCTAATAATTTATATTTTACCTTGTACTTTTATGACCTTGTACCCTTTCAAAATCGATTTACCGTTTCTCTCTTTTGTTTCTTTCTTATATACTTTTAAAATGATTTATCCGTTTGTCACATTTTCACTCCTTCTGCTCACGATGGCACGAAGAAGACGAAATTTTGTCTTCGAAACGAGAAAATATTTGATATTTGTCAGTACATATTGAAGAAGAAAAATTCTGCGCATTTAATGAATAATAACATTTACCGAAGATCGGTAGAATTTCCATTTACTGATTAAAATCGTTATATGAACACAGTTTGCAGATAGTTCGTTTACTCAGAGTCACGAGCAATAACTCACCAAGTCGACGTAGGAAAACGTCTTTCTTACACAAACTTTCTATTGATAATTACGGAGCTTGCATTATATAGATACTACATCAAGTGTACAATTAAAGTTATTTCAGTTTCATCGTTGTTTACAGGGTATAACAAATTCTTAACAATTCCTAATTCAGAGCTTTTACAGAAAATCTATTAAAGATTTAAATTCTGTTATTAGATTTAAAATATCTTACATTTTCATAATACTTTTGAAACTTACATTCAGAGAAAAAGTGATGTCAACTATAGACAATCATTTATAACATTTATAAATACACAATGATATATAAATTTTGTTTGTAGAATTAATGTATGTATATAATTGGATGATCTATATTGTATTTGTTGAATTATAATATAATTTATTTAACTGTACATTATTTCTACATAAAATTTGTATTTTGTAGTTACACTATCATGCATTTCTCTGACAAGTGTTCTATCACAGAACAAATTTTATTCTTCTTGAAATGTTGTTGTCATAAATCTAAAGGACATATACTTTTTTTATATCAGCATAATTTGAGATTTAAAGGATGAAACGATACTTCCAATGCTTATACTCAATTCTAATCAATTATTAATAAAACAGTGGAATATATAGAAAAATGTTTTAGACCAAATTTTTATATTTGTTTATATACACATGTATATATATATATATATATATATATTTTTTTTTTTTAATTATGTATTTAGATTTTTCAGAAATCTAATATTTTGAAAATACTCTTATCTCCATTAAGTTTTAAAGGATTGTTTCATTCTTTAAAATTGGGCTGAAAACATATGTGTCTCTTATATTTTTGTATTTAACAAGTATTTTTTGTATTTCAAGAACAGTCAAATTGATTACGTTATGCAACCAATGCGACTGTTATGATGAATCAATAACCTTAATATATACCATTTTGATTTTTTAGGGCAAAAAATTAAAGTTATTGATCTATTATATTTATCAAATCATCTACATAT